AACAAACGAATTTTAACAAACAAATTTTATCTTAAATATAAGTTATTTATTAATGATCAATTTTAACAAACGAATTTTTAAAAAAATATTTGTTAAAATTTAAAATTACAAATCAGTCTTATTTATTATATTTTAATACTAATAAATAACATTTGAAAAGTAAATTAATTACCTGCAAAGGCAGCTTTTATGCTAAATAATAATATAACTCACTCGTGCATTCAATCATTGTTTCTTAATTTTATTTTTATTCAATTTTCATTGAAGAGAGAAACATAAAATTGATTTCTAAATAAAAAGAAATAGAGCACTTAATATGTTACAAGTGACTAGAGTAGAAGTATTGTCGAGTCAGTGAAAACAGATCCTCCCTTTTCTCTCTTTCACTTTTCACTCAAAATCTCATTTTTACATTTAGATCAAAAAATAGACGGCGTAAATTTAACATTGGGAAAATGACAGTAAAATATCATGTGAATTTCAAAAAGGCAAATAAGATACCTGAATAAGCAAAATGACAAATAAGGCATTGGGTACTAATCTGGAATTTTGATTTTTGGACTAATGACCGAATTACCCTTATTATGTTTGAAAACTGAGGAGATGGAGAAAGGGAGAAATCACCTCCTCCCGACGAAAGCAATCCCCTGATTTGGCGAAACCAATCCCTCCACTCAGCTAGTGAAATCGAATCCCCCACTCGGAGAAACCAATCCTCCCACTCAGCGAAACTAAATCCAAGCTCCTCCAGTCACCGAAAAAGGTTCTCCGAAATCACATTGCCGCCATCACAGGAGTAAACTGCTGTTGGTGAAATTGGTAACCGTCGCAAGAGTAGAGTGCAGTCATTTGAATATATGTAATGTATCTGCTGTCATATGGCTACTGGTTTTTGGTAAATACTGTTATGTGAATGGTACATTCCATTACACATGTAGTTAATATGAAAGTTAATGGTTCAATGTTTACTTTGATGTACTTCAGGTGCAATCATTTGAATATATGTAATGTATCTGTTGTTATATGGATGCTGGTTTTTGGCAAATATTGTTTCGTGAATGGTGCATTACATTACACAAAGTAGTAACTCTCACTATAAAAGTTGTAAATACCACTATGTGTTTTGTAAAATTCAGCTTGAAATTATATTGTTTTTTATAGAGAATTTATCCCGCCCCTCACAAAAGGTTGCAAAGCCCATTGAAAAAGTAGTAAATATCACTGTGAAAGTTGTTATTCCCAATATGTATTTTGTAAAATTCAGTGTGGCATTGTTTTGTTTTTTACAGAAACGTTGCCCAGCGCTTAACAAAAGGTTGCAAAACCCATTGAAAAAGTAGTAAATCTCACTGTGAAAGTTGTTATTCCCACTATGTGTTTTGTAAAATTCAGTGTGGAATTGTTTTGTTTTTGATAGAAAAGTTGCCCACCCCCTCACAAAAGGTTGCAAAACCCATTGAAGAAGTCGTAAATCTCACTGTGAAAGATGTTATTCCCACTATGTGTTTTGTAAAATCCAGCGTGGAATTGTTTTGTTTTTGACAGAAACATTGGTCAGCCCCTCACAAAAGGTTACAAATCCCATTGAAAATGTAGTAACACTTACTGTGAAAGCTGTAAATCCCACTATGTGTTTTGTCAAATTCAGCATGGAATTATATTTTTGTAGAGAAAAGTTGCCTTGCCCCTCAAAACAAGTTGTTAAACCCTTCGAAGAAGTAGTCAAATTCACTTCGCGAGTTATAAATCTCGTTATACGTGTAGTAACATTCTGGACAAATGATTTAACAATACTTGAAAATCAGGCAGCTTTACATTTCCTAAAAATAGTTTGTAAATCCCCTTACATACAAATCCCCTTGCAAATCGAAGAACCTTTTTCAGTGACTGAAGGAGCTTGGATTTAGTTTTGTCAAGTGGGAGGGATTCAGTTTCGTTGAGTGGAGGGATTGGTTTCGCCAAGTAGGAGGATTCGGTTTCGCTAAGGGGAGGGATTAGTTTCACCGAGTAGGTGGATTGGTTTCGCCAAGTGGGGGCAGTTTCTCTTTCGACGAGTGGAGGGATTGCTTTCGCAGGGAGGAGGTGGCTTCTACCTTTTTCTATCTCTTCAGTTTTCAAACATAATAAGGGCAATTCGGTCTTTAGGCTAAAAATCAAAATTTCAGATTGGTACCTGATGCCTTATTTGTCGTTTTGCTTATTCAGGTGCCTTATTTGTCTTTTTGAAATTCACATGGTATTTTACTGTCATTTTCCCTTTAACATTTTATAAAATTATTATTATAATATTATTTTTATAATTTTTTTTATTTGATCGGTACTGCGATTACGAGCTCGCATGTCAAATGTTCAGTTTCCATTTAAATAAAATATATTGACTACTCCTGCATTTTTTCTAAATTATAAAAACTTTTCCTTTATTTTAAAAATATATATAAACTTCTTATAAAATTAAAATGTATGTTACACAAATCTTATTTATATATTTGAGATTTAATTTCTATCTATCTAATCATTGACCGTTAAGTTTTAACTTACAATTTTTTTATTTTTAAGATTTTTGTTCACCAGTTTTCTTTGTCCCCCCGGGAAAAAAAAAAAAAAAACCAAAAAAGAGAATGCAAGGCTGAGTTAGCAGGCAAGTGGCTTGAAATTCTGCTGTCGGTTTGCATCTTTATTACTGGTAGTGCGGTCCAACCCTTTCAGCCCCCCAAGCACATGCATGCACCTGTTTCCATCATCTGCCACACGCATTATTGTCCAGCCAATTCATTCAGATTTATCCCGAAATTATTGATGGAGGCTGATAGAGTACTAAATTGAGTGTCAGCGCAAAGAAAAAAAAGAGAGTACTAAATTGAATGTATTGTCTCCTTCACATTGACGCCAAAGGATAAGACTAGAGGAGAGGGTCCATTTCACCCCATGCCACTTTTCACTCTACCCTGGCATTTTTTTTCCAATATTGCTTGCCTACTTACCATTCCCATAACTTATTATAATTGTCACTTGTAATTAAAAAAACACATTAAATTTTCAGAAAGTTGCCTGTCTAGTCTATATCTCTACCTAACCATTGCTTATTATAAGTTACACGCAAATAAGTTTTTTTATCTTAAATATAAATTATTTATTAATGATCATTTTTTAACGAGAGAATCTTAAAAAATATTTTTAAAATTTAAAATTACAAATTAGTCTTGTTTATTATATTTTAATAATAATTGATAATATTTAAAAAACAAATGACAACATATTTTTGTGGTCATCACTAATTTAAGATTTCAAAATTTTAAAAGTTTTTTAGAATTTTCTCTTTTTTTATTTTAGTCATATTTAATTTTCATTCAAAAAGATAAAGAAGAAAGAAATGTAAGAATAATTTGTGAAATTTGTAGGAATTACTGATTTAGGATTTAGTTATTTTAGATTCTTTTAGTGGGATTTTCTAATAAAATTTGAACCATTGATTTTTTAAAAAAATCCAAAAAATTAAAAAATTGCATACAGAGACCAATTTAAAAAAATTATTAAATTGTTATCAAAATTAATACTAATATTATAAGTTTTATTGATAATTTTTTTATTTTTAAAGTTTTTATTTGCCTTTTTTTTTTTTCAAGAGGATACAAAAGCTGAGTTAGCACGCAAGAAGTTTGAAATTCTGCTACCGGTAAGCATCTTTATTACTGGTAGTGCCGTCCGACCCTTTCAGCCCCGCAAGCACAAGCATGCACCTGTTTCCATCCGCTGCACTCATTATCGTCCAGCCTTTATCACGAAATGATTGATGGAGGCTAGCAGAGCAATAAATTGAACGTCAGGCCAAAAAAATAAAAGTGTTAAATTGAATGTATTGTCTACTTCACGTTGACGCCAACGGATAAGACCAGAGACTAGGGTCCCTTTCACGCCATGCCACTTTTTACTCTATCCTGGCTTTTTTTTTTCTCCCCAATATTACTTGCCTACTTGGCATTCCGATACTCATTATGATTATCATTCGTAATAAGTATTCACATGTAAAAATAACATTAAATTAATAATTTTTTTAATTTTATTCTTATTAAAGTGGTTATTAAATTGATGCCGGCACTTCAAAGGCCTGTTAATGCTATATATATATATATACACACACACTATTGAAACTTTGTAATTGTTGTTATTACCTTAATATTATTTTGTCTTTTACTATATAAAAAAAAAAAAAGCTATTGCACAAAACATTGGAAAGGTCATTTAGGATGAACACTGTGATTGTTGGAATTTGTTTTACTGATCCTTCTACAGTAATGACTACTGACATACTTTCTCCGTTTCAAAACACAAGTACACAGATCAAGAAATATTAATCAAGTCATTAAATATATTTTAAATTCATAAAATTTACTCATCTTATTTTTACTAAAGAATGTGATAGTAATTGAAAAATTCTCTCATCGCCCTCTCATGCATTTAAAATTCTGTCTTCTCCTTACAAGAACAGATAAAAGTGAAAGACTACAATTAATTATTTTGTCAATCTTTTATATTTTGGATCAAAATTTTTCAATTTGACGAAGTGTGTGGATTAAACAAGTGGAAGGAAATGGACTATAAAAATGCGGAGAAGCTATCTAAGTGTCTTTTTTTTTTTGAGATACAAAAACGAGCCTCGGTTTTTTTTTTTGGGGGGGCGGGGGACAAACTCGGAAAAGAAGCTCCTACCTAAAAACAAAAAGCCAGCAACTAGTCAAGATATCTAACTTGTTATCTAGCTACTTCTCTCTGTACGCGGCCTTCTTCCTCACTGTCTGTATTCATCCTCTATATGAGACTATTGCTTCTCTTATTCTAATTTTTGAGGTGTAATTGCTAAAACTCTCCATATTATGACGTAAGCATTGTAGTTTCTTGTTATTTCTCTGATTATTACACAAATTGTATTCAGTTAGAGGTGTGTTTATTACAATTACTCTCGTCATCATTCACACCTCATTTGAGTTTCCCATCGATCATCAATGGAAGTCCTTATTGAGAATGTCATTCGGCTACTGGGCTGTTTAACTGCTAAAGAGCTTGACCTTCTTTGCAATTTCCAAGATGATTTGGAGACTCTGGAGAGGAAAGTCACTGGAATTAAAGCCGTGCTTCATGATGATGAGGGAAAGGCCACGAAAAGTGAAGTGAACAATGATTTGCTGCAAAAGCTGAGAGATATGGTGCTTGATGCCGAAGACTTGTTGGATGCCTACTCTGCTGAGGAGCTAGCAAGGAAAGTGATGACCAAAGATAAAATGGCGAAGGAGGTACGCATATTCTTCTCCAAATCAAACCGACTTGTTTGTGCGCATAAAATGGGTCAAAAAATTAGGGCAATTGGGAAGAAAATAGACGAGATTTACGATGAGAAGAATCCGATCCGATTGCATGAGAGCGTTTCGAGTACTTCGAATGAGCCTCATGAATTGAGACGAACCGACTCATTTGTGAGCGACCAAGATGTTGTCGGGAGAGACAAGGAAAGAAGGGATCTTGTTAGGATCCTTTTAAACCCTGATGTGAAAAATGATGTCTCAGTAGTTCCCATAGTTGGGATTGGAGGATTGGGGAAGACGACATTTGCTCAACAAGTGTATAATGATGTGGCTTCTAAAAATCATTTTGAGCCTATGATGTGGGTTTGTGTGTCTGATGAATCCCATCAACTTTCCAATAACACGTTAGCTCAAAAGATCATTAAGCAGGAAAAATCTGATGATGCCCTCAAACTATTAAGAGATAAAATTATGGAGAAACGTTTTCTACTTGTGTTAGATGATGTTTGGAATATTAAGGATCGTGGGGAATGGCTTAAATTAGAAAACATATTCAGGGCTGGACGAAAAGGGAGTATGATCATTATCACTACACGGAGTATGGAAGTGGCGCAAACAATGCACCCGCATCCGCCTCTTTTCTTGAACGATTTGGATGAAGGTAACTCTTGGGAGCTATTTTGTAGAGTCGCTTTTTGGGACGGGAAAGAACCTGATGATCACAAGTTGGTAGGGATTGGAAAGGATATTGTGAGAAAATGTGCTGGAGTTCCGCTTGCAATAAGAGCCATTGGTAGCATATTGTTTCACAAAGCGTTAGAAGTGAATGAGTGGTCAAATTTTAGGAACAATAAACTTGCGAATATAGATCTTAAGGATAATAAGATCTTTTCTATCCTTAAACTTAGTTATGATCATCTTCCCCCCCATTTGAAAAAGTGTTTTGCATTTTGCTCTTTGTTTCCAAAAGATTACGAGATTGAGAGAGAAACACTAATTCGGTTGTGGATAGCTGAGGGGTTCATTCAATCTTTGGATCAAAGGAAGTGCTTGGAAGATGTTGGTTATGAGTATTTCAAGCAGTTGTTGTCGAGGTGCTTGTTTCAAGATGTGAAGAAAAATAATTTTGGTGACATATGGTCCTGCAAGATGCATGACCTCATACATGATCTAGCACAATTAGTCACTAAAAATGAGTGTTACATTGTCACAAGTGAAAGAATAGAAGAAGAGAAATTTGGTAATGGGGCTCGTCATATGTCAATTCATTTTGACGGTGCCTGGAAGTTTCCACTTGGCAATGCCAACACCAAAAAAATGAGAACAATTTTGCTCCTACAAGGACATTTGGAATTTATCTTGAGTCAGTCTTCATCAAGAGTTTTTAATCTAATTTGTAGGCCTACAACATCACTTCCAAAGCGCTTACGTGTATTGGTTCTTGTAGATGAAGAGTTGGAAATTCCAGAGAGTATTGGAGACTTGAAGCATTTAAGATATCTTGATTTAAGTGGGAAAGTTAAACTCAAGAAGCTCCCACGAGGAATCACCAAGTTGTATAACTTGTTGACCCTGAAACTTAAAAATTGGGTATCTTTGGCATCACTTCCAGAGTCCATTGAACATCTCACATTATTGCGATCTCTTGACCTCTCCAGCTGCACTTTTTTGGCATCACTTCCAGAGACCATCAGAAATCTCACATCGTTGCAATCTCTTGACCTCTCCCGCTGCACTTTTTTGGCATCACTTCCAGAGACCATCGGAAATCTCACATTATTGAAATCTCTTCACCTTTCCAGCTGCACTTCTTTGGCATCACTTCCAGAGTCCATCGGAAATCTCACAGCATTGGAACGTCTTCATCTCTCCGACTGCACTTCTTTGGCATCACTTCCAGAGTCCATTGGAAATCTCACAGCATTGGAACGTCTTCATCTCTCCGACTGCACTTCTTTGGCATCACTTCCAGAGTCTATCGGAAATCTCATAGCACTGGAATCTCTTAACCTCTCTAGCTGCACTTCTTTGGCATCACTTCCAGAGTCCATCGGAAATCTCACAGCATTGAAATGTCTTCATCTCTCCGGCTGCACTTCTTTGGCATCACTTCCAGAGTCCATCAGAAATCTCACAGCATTGAAATATCTTCACCTCTCCAACTGCACTTCTTTGGCATCACTTCCAGAGTCCATCAGAAATCTCAGATTATTGCAATCTCTTGACCTCTCCAGTTGCACTTCATTGGCATTACTTCCAGAGTCCATCGGAAATCTCAAATCATTGCAATCTCTTTACCTCTCCAACTGCACTTCTTTGGCATCACTTCCAGAGTCCATCGGAAATCTCAAATCATTGCAATCTCTTTACCTCCATCACTGCACTTCTTTGGCATCACTTCCAGAGTCCATCGTAAATCTCACATTATTACAATCTCTTGTCCTCTCCAAATGCATTTCTTTGGCATCACTTCCAGAGTCTATAGGAAATCTCAAATCATTGCAATCTCTTGACTTCTCTAGCTGCATTTCTTTGGCATCACTTCCAGATACCGTCGGAAATCTCACATCATTGCAATCTCTTCACCTCTCTAGCTGCACCTCTTTGGCATCACTTCCATATACCATCGGAAATCTCATATCATTACAATCTCTTCCCCTCTCCAGCTGCACTTCATTGGTATCACTTCCTGAGACCATTAGAAATTTCACATCATTGCAATCTCTTGACCTCTCCAGCTGCACTTCTTTGGAATCACTTCCAGAGACCATCAGAAATCTCACATCGTTGCAATCTTTTGACCTCTCCAGCTGCACTTCTTTGACATCACTTCCAGCAACCATCGGAAATCTCACATCATTGCAATCTCTTTACCTCCATCACTGCACTTCTTTGGCATCACTTCCAGAGTCCATCGGAAATCTCACAGCATTGAAATGTCTTCATCTCTCCGACTGCACTTCTTTGGCATCACTTCCAGAGTCTATCGGAAATCTCATAGCACTGCAATCTCTTAACCTCTCTACCTGCATTTCTTTGGCATCACTTCCAGAGTCCATCGGAAATCTCACAGCATTGAAATGTCTTCATCTCTCCGACTGCACTTCTTTGGCATCACTTCCAGAGTCTATCGGAAATCTCATAGCACTGCAATCTCTTAACCTCTCTAGCTGCACTTCTTTGGCATCACTTCCAGAGTCTATCAGAAATCTCACATCATTGCAATCTCTTTACCTCCATCACTGCACTTCTTTGGCATCACTTCCAGAGTCCATCAGAAATCTCATATCATTGCAATCTCTTGACCTCTCTAACTGCACTTCTTTGGCATCACTTCCAGAGTCCATCACAAATCTCACATCATTGCAATCTCTTGACCTCTCTGACTGCACTTCTTTGGCATCACTTCCAGAGTCCATCAGAAATCTCATATCATTGCAATCTCTTTACCTCTCTGACTGCACTTCGTTGGCATTACTTCCAGAGTCCATTGGAAATCTCACATCATTGCAATCTCTTTACCTCCGTCACTGCACTTCTTTGGATTCACTTCCAGAGTCCATCGGAAGTCTCATATCATTGCAATCTCTTTACCTCCGTCACTGCACTTCTTTGGCATCACTTCCAGAGTCTATCAGAAATCTCACATCATTGCAATCTCTTGACCTCTCTGACTGTACTTCTTTGGCATCACTTCCAGAGTCCATCGGAAATCTCACATCATTGCGATCTCTTGACCTCTCTGATTGTACTTCTTTGGCATCACTTCCAGAGTCCATCGGAAATCTCACATCATTGCAATTTCTTGACCTGTCTGACTGCACTTTGGCATCACTTCCAGACTCAATAAAGAGTCTGACATCATTGTGATGTTTTGTTATCAGCGGTTGCTCTACTTTAAAACAAAGATACAGACAGAAATCAGAGGGTGTGGATTGGCCAGTACTTGCTCACACACATTTTTCTTGGTGAATAAGTAACGGGTTTTCTTATCACCCGTTTCAACAAAATCAGGGTACGTATATATTTACTTTTAACTCCATTCTTCTCTTCGTTGGTAGTTTCACACGTAGCTTATACTCTTTCTCTTGCAGTCCTCATCATGTGTTTGTGCGTGCCGCTTCTATGTTATGTGCTTAAGAAAAGACGCTGCTGCTGGTCAAGTCCAAACTCTATTCCCTGAACATTTATGGGATCTTCAAAGTTGTGGTCTGAACTCTTTTAAAAAGACTCTTAATTACTATTAATTCCGTGAATGAATGAATAATTTGTGGAAATTGTACTGAAGTGGAATTTTAGTATTTCCTGGATTTGATGTTGTGTAAATTTAATTGCTTTACTGATATCACGTGTTATGGGTTAGCGTTATTCCACCTAATTAAATGCTTATATTATATACCCTTCGCACAGTTTTGAGTTAAAAGCTTCTTAGGGAACATCACATTTAAGACAATATTTCAAATCAAGAGCTACTTGGGCCAAAATTTTTTGTTTAGAAACAAAAAGAAATGGTTTCAGAGTAAATAATAAAATGACTTTCTTAAATATTTATTGTGTTTGTCAAGTTTTTTTAATAGATGAGGAATTTTGTGGACGGTGCTGAATATGATTTTTTTTTATTTTATCACAAAAGAGTAAAATAATTGCATCAATGTTTTGGGAAAATTTTACTGACTACCCTAACTAAAATGTTTGGTGTCTTTATAAGCTCGAGAAAAATAAGCTAATATGGATTTTGACGACAAGCACAAGAGACGGTGTCATCGCCAAAGCTGAATGGAAAGACGCCGAGTTGGGGAGCATCAGAAGAGGTGGTGAAGTGGCATGGACTTTTTGGGAAGGAGGAGCCATGTGGAACTGAGTTGGAGACAAAACTTTGTCACATAAGATGAGTTATAAATGATAAGGATAGTAATATAAAAAAAAAATTAAAAGACGAGAGAATTACAAGCCAATCAAAAGTTTAAAAATTAAGTCGCACTGAGTCGTAGTTAAGGGATTGAGTTATAAGTTAGTTTAAATTTTTTTTTAAATTTTACCAAAGAGTCAATTTTAAAGTTGAAGGACTAAAATATTAATTTTCTTAAAAATATATTTTACACCATATGTTTTACAAAACCATTTAAAAAGTTAAATAATATTTAAAAATATGTCATACATTTTAAACTTTATTTCCCATGACCTGTTTAAATAGAACAGTCGCTGTTTGCTTATTCTAAAAAACACTTAAAAAAGTATTTTTATACACATTAAGATAATATTATTTTCACGTACTTATCTCATACATGGTAAAATTGTTTTTAACAAGGTATTTCAAATTTTTTTAACCCTAATGAGAGGGAATTGATGATTTCTTCCTTCTTTATTGATCGATATGACAGCGAGCTCAATGGTCCGATCACGGTGAGGAACATTTCTTTATTTTTGTTTTAACGCATGTTTTATAGGAAAAATGACTAAACAAGAATCTTAAAAGTACACTACCAGAAAAAAGGCTTTTCACGGCGGTTTTGAAGGTAAAATTGATAAAGGCGACGTTGAAAGGTAAAGAAAACACGGCGGTTTGAAACCGCCGTGGAAAATTGATTTTCCACGGCAGTTAAATAAAAAACCGCTGTGGAAATTAATATTTCCATGGCGGTTAAACAAAAAACCGCCATTGAAATTTAACTTTTAACAGCAGTTTTTTGTTTTAACTGTCGTGGAAAATACTTTTAATGGTGGTTATGAAGATAACCGCCGTTAAAAAAAAAATTTTTTTAAAAAAATTCTGCTGGATTTTCATTTTTACCACTCTGCAGTTTACAGTTCCAAATAAATATAAGCAGTGCAGAATACGCAGAACAAGATCAATTAGCTAGTTAATATATATACAACATTGAAATTTCTTTTACACAATACGAAAATAGGAAAATCGGCCAATAGAACTAAGGGGTTAAGACCAAAGAACACGTATTGGCTAGGACCAGCAATTCTAAAATAGAAGTAACTACTTCTCTGTACAATAGAAATCATGAACATGTATATATAAGAGGGAACCAAGAGAAAACATCTAACAATGAATTTTTTGAGAAATGATCTAACTATTTGAAAGCTAAATTTCAATAGTTTGTACCAATGTTGTTGACAAAGTGTCCCTCATGAAGTTGATGTCATCCATGAGATATGGCGCAGTATTTTGAAATATCTGTTAATAAAAAATAACATAGTAAACTTAGTCAAAAATGTGAAATGAATTGAAGAACGTCATGCAACGTAACTCATCTTTACCTCGTCTAATTTCTCAATCGTTCCTGTCTCAATTATGTCATTCATGTAGCGGATGACATAATATCCACATTCAACATGTCCTTATTGACAATGGTACTAAAAAAATAAGATATAAAATTGAATATTAGACATTATTGATTATAAACATTAACTTTAATTCATCCAAAAATATTTAAAAGTTAGTTCAAAACAACATATACCTTTGGAAGAATCCATCTTGGTGCTTGTCTATTTTGTTTAATCGCCACAACATTAAAACTATGAAAAGCCCTATCAATAGTATAAAAGAAAATGGTATTAGAGCATGTTTTTATAAACTTCACAAGTAATAAATATATAAACATAAACTGCCTTTACCCTATCAAGATATGCGTTACAAAACTCAACTGCCTCCTCAGCTGCATATCTCTCAACAATTGATGCCTCAGGCTGATAAGGATTCTTAGAGTACCCTTTTAGGATTTTCATGTATCTCTCAAAAGGGTACATCCATCTTAAACACACAGGACTACAAAGTCTTATCTCTCGCACAAGATGAACTATCAAGTGGACCATAATATCAAAAAATGATGGAGGAAAATGCATTTCCAATTGAGAGAGGATCACATAACCTTCATTTTCTAATTCATCCAACTCAGCAGGATCAATGACTTTGCTGCAAATGGCACTAAAAAACATACAGAATCTTGTAATAGTATTTCTCACATCGGTTTTCATAATGCCTCGAATAGCAAGTGGAAGTAATTATTGCATCAACACATGACAATCATGAGATTTCATTCTCGTTATCTTCAAATCTTGCATTGAAACAAGTTTGCTTAAATTAGAAGAATAACCTTGTGGCACCTTAATACTATTGACAAAAGCACAGAAACTTCTTTTCTCTTCTTTTGATAATGTGTGCGCAGCTGGATGTAAATAAGCCCTCTTACCATCTCTTTCTTGTGGGTGAAGGACATTTCTTATTCCAATTTCGACTAAGTCTCGTCTTGTATTGATTCTATCTTTAGTCTTTTCACTTATATGCAAAAGTGTACCAACAAGGCTCTCACATACATTCTTCTCCACATGCATCACATCTAGACTATGCCTCACATCAAGACTTTGCCAATATGGAAGATAAAAAAAGATAGATCTTTTTTTCCATATATTCCTCTCATCGGCAGTCTTCTTCTTCTTCTTCTTACCGAAGACCACATTAATTCCTTCCACCTGCTGATAAACTTCTTCTCCAGTTAATGGTCTTGGAGCCATTTCATATTTTTGTGAGCCATTAAATGCCTTTTTCAATCTACGGTAAGGGTGATACAGACTAAGAAACCTTCTGTGACCAAGTTATACTGTCTTCCTGTCATGTTTAAGTTGCATATAGTGGGTGCTTTCTTCGCATATTGGGCATGCTTTATGCCCCTTAACACTGTATCCTGACAAATTTCCATATGCTGGAAAGTCATTTATCGTGGTGAAGATCATGGCACGTAAATTGAAGGTCTCTTGTTTATATGCATCAAACACATCAACACCTTCCTCCCATAATTTCTTCAGATCCTCAATCAAAGGTGCCAAATACACATCGATATCATTTCCCAGTTGTTTTGGCCCCGAGATCATCAAAGATAGCATGATATACTTTCTTTTCATACATAACCAAGGAGGCAAGTTGTAAATTACGAGGAGCACTGGCCAAGTACTGTGTGTGCTACTAAGATTACCATATGGGTTAATTTCGTCCGTACAAAGCCCTAGTCGAAGGTTTCTTGGCTCGCCACCAAATTGAAGAAAATTTTGATCTATTGTTTTCCATGGAGGAGAATCTGCTGGGTGACGAAGCTTTTCATCACATATTTTCTCATCGAAATGCCATCTCAAGTTCTTTGCATCTGTGGCATTAGCAAATAGACGCTTAAATGGTGGTATTATTGGAAGATACCACAGAACCTTCAAAGGAGAACCTTTGGTCATCTCATTATAATCACCATCATCTTTCTTCATTTTGTATCTTGAAGTCCCACATTTAGGACACTTATTCAGCCCTTCATAATCATTTTTGAATAATATACAGTCATTAGGATACACATGTATGTTCTCATATTCCAAACCCATCGGACACAAAATCTTTTTTGCCTCATACATTTGTTTCGGAAGTGAATTCCCTTTGGGAAGAATATCACTTAGCAATTCAAGCAATTCTGTAAAATTAGCATCGGTCCAACCATTTCTTGCTTTCAAATTCATCAGTTTCAATACGGTTGTCAACCTTGTATAATCATCTTTGCACCCCTGGTATAAAGGTGTCTCTGCATCACTACACAAAGTTTCAAAGGTGGAAGAGAACTGTGTAGAGGATTCAGACCTTATATCACGAAACATATCCGAAATTTTATTACCAAAGTCTTCATTCACAACCTTCTTATTTGCAGACAGTGTAGTCTTTCTAATTTCTCCATGCCATATCCAATTTGTATACCTCAAATTTATCCCATCAAAAATAAGATGCTCTTTTATCTCAGAAATACTCCGTCGACTATTGTTTAAACATTTGATATAAGGACAATAGTACAATCCATCTCTTTTATCAGGGGCATTTCTTTGAGCAAACT